GGAAGGAAGGAAGGAAGGAAGGAAGGAAGGAAGGAAGGAAGGAAGGACGCCTCACATAGATCCTACCTGGGGTCCTTGCAGGGCTGGCGGGTCGAGGTGGGGGTGGGAGGAGCCCTTCTGGAGAAGCCCCGCCCTCCACTGCCATCACTGAGGTGTCAATGTCAGCATCTTCGTCGACTTGCTCCGAGTTGCTCCGCCGTTGGTGGCAGGAGAATTTCCGCTCCTTCATCCGCTCCTTCTCGGAGATGCTGCGGCCCGCCTCCTCCTGGATCAGCAGCTCCGCTTCAGCCGAGCCCGCTTTGCTCTGCCCGTCCCCTTCCCCGCGGTCGCTGCTCGAGTCGCAGGAGAGGAACTCGTCCTCCGAGGGGCTGCGGTCCCCCTCCCTCTTCTCGTCGGTGTCGCTGGCATCCGAGTCACGCAGTTCGGCCACCATCGGCTCCTTCAGCTCTTCATGAAGTTGGTCCATCAGGCAGCGGAGGAATTCTTGCGTGTCCTGGGAAGGGGGCAAAAAGAGGTTTGTTAGGGGAAAAAATGGGTTTATTCAAAAGAAGACAGACGTCCCGCGAACAAACTCCAAAACGTTTTGGCGACCCAGATGTGACTGAGGCAAGACTCCCTACCCAATAATAGGGAAGTGCTATTTCCACAGCGAGGAAGATTAAGAATCACTTGTAACCATTGCAGGAGGGAGATCCCAGATAATTCCCACCTTAGCAAGCTGCTCACCTGTTGTGCGTAGCCCCGGAACATGGGGTTGATCAGCTTGATGCTGTGGGAGAGGCTGCTGGGGACCACGTAGCTGGGGCTAGGAGGAAGGGAGGAGAAACGGAGATAACACACAATTAGAGGCCATCTAAACAGCCAGCAGTTTGTTGTGGGGTCCTTGGTGCCCTCTGAGCTGGGTGGTTATTTGCAGACGCCAAATGACCCAACTAGGGAACGTCATCAGAGCAAGTGAGTGTGGCGTCTGCTCCCTGTTTTTTCATACAGTATCTCTGAGCTTCGTTGTTTGCTTGCAAAGGGTTGCATTACCCAACTAGGTAACTTCAGTGGAGTGGAGTTTGGGAAGAGGAGGAGAAGTATTGTGGGGTCCTTGGTACTCCCGGAGCTTGCTTGTTTTCTTGCAGACATTTCATTACCCAACCAGGTTTCATCATCAGTGCTAG